CATGAATATGCAACATCCAATAAAACTCCAGTGTAAAAATAAAAAGACATAATAAGTTCCTCACATTGATATCACCAGCTTTTGCAAGGATTGCATCAAATACGGCATTGCAAACATAGTAAGCAGCTACGCAAGAGGCTGTACCCTGAGTTCCTGAATCAGATCAATCAATAAAACAAGTAAGAGCATTCATGGTGAAAAGTAGCTTGGACCTTGGTGAAAAAGTAAACTTGACTGGGGAAAAGGGAGAAAAAAAGTGATCAGTAAGATAATAGCATTTTTACCACATAGCTTTATCGCGGCCTCACATAGTGGAAGCACCTTGACCAAGGTTTTATGATAAGACTCGGTAATTATGCCCATGTCCAATGCATAATCAGGATAAGCATTGTACTGGATTGCTGGATCAGTAAGTCCGTTACCTATGGCAAATCCCTGAAGAGTACTACAGTCATTTATAGTTACACGAATCAATTGGTTAAGAAAAGTTGCAATAAAAGTTTTGGAGTTTTGATACCTTGAGATTTATGTGAACTCCTTCATTGGCTTGGTTTCCTTTGTGGACTCTTGCAGCAAAAGCAGGTATGTAATGCCCAGCATATGATTCTCCAGTGATGTAGAAGTCATTCTTGGCATACTCAGGATGCTCGGTAAAAAAAGCCTGGAATACTGATACTAGTCATATGCACAATATAAGTCAAAATAACCTAATAGTCCCTTTGTAATCTTCTTTTCCCTTTTAAGCAAATATGTGCGTATATTCTTCCATTCCTTTCTAAATATGTGGGTATATTCTTCCATTCCTTTCTAAATAAAACTCAACGACAGTCGACATTTATCATTTTCTAAAACTCTAAGCCAACTAGCCTGTCTTCATATAATCTTCTTTTCCCTTTTAAGCAAATATGTGGGTATATTCTTCCATTCCTTTCTAAATAAAACTCAACGACAGTCGACAGTTATCATTTTCTAAAACTCTAAGCCAACTAGCCAAGTCAAACCACAAATATAGAATATGGACAGGATCACAGGATCACATAGTAATTGATTGATTTCATGGCATTAAATTAGAGGTTAAAAATTTTCAAATACTCACATAGATCTTTAAGAAATAAAAAACCAACCTGCAAAAAGTCATATAAGTCATTGCTAACACCATCTTCACTGTGGCGGATATCGCGACTGTCAGAGCTGTAACTGAAGCCAGTTCCAGTAGGTTGATCTACATATAAAAGGTTTGAGACCTGGAGAATAAAGTTGCGAGGAACTTGTCCTTATTAAAAGCGGTCTCTTTTCAGGGATAATAAAGTAAAATACAGTTAACTCTTAGAAGTTAAAGAAAACATATTATGTCGCGTATACATTCACCACAAAAATCCATTGTCAACTTCTAAACAAAAATTAAGACCGACTGTATCAAGCATAAAGTATTTAGGATGGGGGGTGCACATAATTTTCAAAGGAGCCATATTACCTTATCCCAGCCATAATCATTCCATATAAGTGACAAGTTATTTGCAATTTTGAAAGGCCCATTCTCATAGAAAAGTGCCAACTCGCTGCTGCATCCTGGCCCTCCAGTTAACCAGATAACAACAGGGTCATTCTTGCTTTCACGTGATTCAAAGAAAAAGTAGAACATGCTACACGCATGAAGAAAGTGCACTCAGTATTTCAGTTGTATCCGGAAAATGAAAGATTTAACATAATTTTGACCCTATGGAAATATTACAGCTAACGGCAAGTACTGGATCAAGAGAAAATCAACTTTAGGTTATTATTAGGTGCAGTAAAAGCTATTCCATGTTTGGAAATAAATTAGCAGTAGAAAATGAATTTTTAATTTAAAACTGCCACCGACTAAATTGAATGGCAAACCAAAAAAAAAATTAATTTTTTACAAATTTAAACATGAACAGTTTTGGAGTGTTTACTTGGCGGCAAATGAGTTCTCGATCTTATAGTAGCCGGCATGGTGACCTAAATCCTCAATTGAAACGCTAGAGTCTGCAAGGTTGGGAAAAGTGAACCGCTTCTCAACAATCCTCGGATTCCGAGAGGCTGCGGACGGAGAGATCCGATCGACGATGTTGATGGACTCATTCGGGAACAGGTTCAGCTCTCTGATCAGCTTCTCGGCTAACGACGAATGCAAACTGGAACTAAGAGGAATGTGATTTTTGGCGAAGCAAAATGAAGGCAAAAGAACAACGACCCAGATGAGAGACGCGAGAAGGGAATATATGGAGGGTTTCATTTTGATCGGAAACTTCATAACTGTGAAGTTTGAGGCCAAATCCAAATGTTGAGTTTGTAGTTGGAGTAGCAAGGCGGTTGAGAGTGAAATTGGATCACTCTTGTAGGGTGTTTGCTACGCGCACCCTTTTAAATTGCTTGATGTAAGTATGTAACCTTGATTTCATTGTATTACCCTTTTAAAAACTTTAATTACAAATAGAATATTTTTATGAAATAATGATCTCAATATTACTGCTACACTTTTCAATTCCAAAAATATTACTTGTTTTTCTTTTTCCGAAAAAGTGACCCTATTTAATTATTGCCCCAATTAAACTCTAATCCTTTGTATCATTTAATTTATTTAATTAATTATTAATTAATTAATACCTAATGGTTCGATCCCAGTACATTCATCCGCATGGAGAACAGGAGCCACTGCCGCATACCACTCGCTGACGACATCCATATTCCCTCATCTTCTTCTCCTTTCTTCTATCCGCAATTCTGATGCCCACACAACCGATCAAGGTTTTTTCTACATACCTTTCTCATTTTTAATGAGTAACAATGCCTCACAATCCGGATCGAATTTGGGGCTGTTTTATTTCAAGATCCGGGGCATGCATATTTGTTTGTTATCAGACAGGATGAGGCTAGTTAGGGGTTGTGACATGAACGAGTGTGGCAGCAGGGTGGATTTGATTCGTACCAGGATTTGTTAGGTTAGGGAAGGGATTGGGGTGGAGCAATTTTTCCGGGGATGGAGATGGGGTAGGGCGGAGCTGGGATTAGGTAGGGGACAAGGACGGATCGTAGTAGAGACCCAGGGGGCTACCGCCCCCCAATAAAAAAAATAGTATATATATATATATATATATATATATATATATATATATATATATATATGAAAAATAATTTTCGTCCTCCCAAAAATTATTTTGAATCCCCCAAAAAAATATTTTCGCCCCCCAAGATGACTTTCCTGGGTCCGCCCCTGGCAGGGGATAAGGCGGGACTGGTGGATGAGGGGTTGAATTAAGGGTTTGAATCTTCTGGCAAAGCTGCAAATCAAACTTCCTTACAGCTGAATTGAAAAAGTAAAAGCAACACAATGAATGACTTGCAGGGTATGCACAGTGAACATCCACATAATACAAAAGTTATGATCATAAGGTGTCATCGAGTGATAGTCACTGGGTGTCAGTCACTGAACCGTCACTGTGGCCGAAACAAGTCACGGACCATGATCATCGTGGCCGGAGTAAGTCATTGAGCGGGGGTCACTGAACCATAGTCACTTTTGTTGGAGCATGTCACCGGAAAATGAAATCAATGACTACACTTTGCAATGAAGAACATACTATATTTAGTTACCATTTAAAAAATAACTTCATTAGTGATTGTCAATTTCTTAAAAAAAATTGTAAAAGTAGTAACTTTTAGTAACTACCTCAGTACTTGCTATCAAGACTGCACAAATGTAGACCTCTGGTAACTATTCCGTATATAGTCACTACAAAACGATGTTAAAAGAATAAAACGGTTCATATATAATGTCCTAAATATATGCTTTTAGTTACCAAATTAGTTATGAGAAATAATAAATCCAATTTTTTTGCCCAGCAGTCTTTGGAATGTGAAACCACACATGGTAATGCATTTACGGCTAAACCCACGTGAGTAACACGTAGTCATACTATTGAACTATTGTTGGTAATATTTATAAAAAAAGCCCTATTTTTATCTTCATTTCCGTACTGTAATCTAATTGCCTTGAAACTTTGTGATGTCATTTTGCTATGCCCATGGCACCTCTCAATTGTGTTTGATTTTAATTTTTTTATATATAAAGTTTAAGATAATAGTTCTAAATACGACTAAATCCAAATAAAAATTACAAAATAATTTCAATCTTTGAATTCACAAAATTCCAATACTTTACCTTTCCATTATACCCTTATCATGATTTCATAGAATAATCATATTTTAATTTGTAATAAACACAGAAAATAATAAAAAATAATTTGACTTATACAAAGAATCGTAAAAAATATTTAAAATTCCAAAATATTTTTAAAAATACAAAAATAATAAAAATTTAAAAAAAAAACTTTTTTTATAAATATAAAATCTTTAAAATATATATAAAAATAGAAAAAACACCTTAAAAATATAAAAAAAAATACGGAGACCTTTCCAATAGTTTCGACCGTTGCCCAACAATTTTTTCTCTGACCGGCTAAAATAGTTATTTTGAACTATTTCTTCTTTAGAATGCCTTTGCAAAGTTAGCTTTTATTAACACCAATTTGATATTAGGACTCCCAATTCTTGAAGGTTGAAGGATTTATAGTGTGATTGGAGGATCTTATCGATGATTCAAGGAGAGGTACATCTATGTGTGCATGTGCATGTCATATTCCTTGAGCTTGTGTGTGTTGTGCAAAGAGTTTTATCTCCATTTACAAATGAAGTAATACAACATTCTTTTTCTTTTAATTGTAACATTGTACTTTTTGCATTATTCACGTATTCTTTTAAAACATCGAATGCCATTGCACTTTTAAAATTTTGGACCTTATTCTAAGAAGGTGTCCCTGATTTGAATTCTCTAGGATTTTAATGGAGTTTAGAAATCTGCCGTGTGTGCCCGATTTGAACGTAGAATCCATGAAAATAAGGGTGAACTCAAATATTTCATAGATTTGTATTGCAGAAAACATATATTGTAGAATCCTCGCATTTCAAAATCTAAAATCCTCGCATGTCAACGATTTGATGTATTTCTGTATCAAAAAACATTCAACCACAGATATTGCAGAATCCTCGCATTTCAAAATCTAAAATCCATTCAACAAGTTTGGGAATTGGGACACCCCTAATTCTTAGTACAATGCACCTTATTCTTTTTCGTTATTGACTCACCCTACGGCCATTCGTTATTTCATTCTCTGAATCTTCCGCCTTCATTTGCGTCACAAAGATTCAACTTCCTTCTAGTTCGAGCTGTCATCCCAAGTTATGGGAGAAACTGATAAGAGAGCTAAATCTGTTCCTTAATGAGTCTATCGACATCGTCAATAGGATTTCTACGTCCGCTGCATCTCGGAGTCCGTAGATCGTTGAGAAGCAGTTTGCGTTCCCCAACCTTGCGGATTCTAGCGTTTCCATTGAGGTTTTAGGTCACATGCCGGTTTCTGTAATATGGAGAGTTCCTATGCCGCCAAGTAAATAATCCGAAAATATCAATCTTCATTTTCAATTGATTTAGTGTTGACTTTATGTTTGTTTTTCATTGAATTTAGTTATAGCCAGTTGTAGTTTTTAATTACATATTCATTTATTTGTACTGATATTCATTGACTTCTCGAAAAATCGTAACAAAAGGGTAACCGTTTCACCAAATTTGCTGCTCCCACAGTGTCCTTTTGTTCCCTATCGTCGTTCATTTCTGCCACAAACTTGCTACTTGTTTTCGCTAAGATGAAAATTGAGGAAAGCTTGGCCTTTTGTCTCTTTGACACGGAGTAGATGTTTTTGTTTAGCACATCCCTCTTTCAATGAATGATGCTCTTTATTGCTAATATACTTCAAGGTTCAACCATCCAGTAGTTTGTACAACATTGCCTCAGTCGATTTTTTACGTTCTGGAGGTGTACTAATAACCTAAAGTTGAATTTTACTTATTCCAGTACTCACCTTATCTTGTCATTTCATTGGGGTCTCAATTTATGTTAAATCTTACCTGTTCCCGATTCAAGTGAAATACTGAGTGCAGTTTCTTCATGTGTGTAGTATGTACTACTTTTTCTTTGAACCAAACGCAAGCAAGAATGACCCTGTTGTCTCCTGGTTAACTGGACGGTCAAGATGCAGTAGCAAGCTGACTCTTTTCTATGAGAATGGTGGGCCTTTGAAGATTGCAAATAATTTGTCACTTGTATGGAATGATTATGGCTGGGATAAGGTAATCTGGTTCCTTTCAAAAATATCTTGCTTGCAGTCCATTCTCAACCTCCAAGTGCTTGCAAATCTTGCTGGCAGTGCACATTCCCCTTCCTCTAAATACTTTATGCTTGATATAGTAGGTTTTAACTTTTAACTGTCACCTGGAAGTTGAAAATGGAATTTGGTGGAAATGTATACCTGTGAGTCACGTGACTTAATTTTCTAAATAGTTCACAATGACTTGCAATTTATTTTGATTTCATATTGACTTACCTTCATTTTGCTTAATAAGCATGTTAAGTCAAACCAAGAAGAACATTTTGAAAAAGATGAATGCGATAAAAACAACTCGTAGATTCCATTTTAATAAGTTGTTGATTAATCAATTGTTAAAAGTGAATTGGGAATATCTAATATATCTGATAGGTATATACACCTTAAGATATATTCCCATTAAGTGTTAATTCAAATTCCTATTAATTGAAATTTAATAAGTTTATTTATCTTTTAGGAGTGATTGGTAAGTGGGGTTGGGAAAAACGTGAATGGAAGTATGGAATGATAGCTCATTTCTAATAAGTAATGAAGAGTGGTTTGGTAATGCTTGATAAGTACAGAATAACTGGCTTTATATATCATTTTGGGATATATGAAATCCATTCCTCCTTTTCCCCCAACATATTCCCCAACATATCCAGAATAACTGGCTTTATATATCATTTTGGGATATATGAAATCCATTCCTCCTTTTCCCCCAACATATTCCCCAACATATCCAGAATAACTGGCTTTATATAACTGGTTAACTTTACAAAATTAACTAGACACTTTCAAATTTTGTATTTATAAGGGTTGAATATCTATGTCAAATGCATCTTATGATATGTATTAATGATATCCCGACATTGAATTTATCACATTACATCTCGTGAGGTATCCCCAATGATAAATATTTTGGTATGTGTGAAAATAGTGGTACTTTGAACTTATTGAAAACCAATTGATATTTCAATATATAAAAATATTATGGAGAATAACTTTGTTTTGTAAGTTTCTAAGAAAGAATGATGATACAACCAAATGACCAATAGTTTAGATATATTGTTGGAAAAGATGTTACTGGGCTTACAGCAAATCTGTGTAACAGGTTAGTAATATGCAATTATACAGAAACTAGAGTGTACGTGTTGTGTGTAAAAAATAGGACTCGTTCAATCCTGAAATAGGAAAAAGTAGGTAATAATTCTTACTTTAGGAGTGAATGAGTCTTTTATTCTAGAAAAAACAATCACAGTCCTATTTGAAGAAATTTGTTGTGGATTTTTCCCTTTTCAATATTTTCATAATTCTTGTTTTTGGTATTTTTTATTTTATTGTTTTTTTTATGAAATTTCAGAGAAATGTTATTACCGCAATGTCCTTATTCGAATCCGTAGAATATGAAAGTTTTGATAAAGAACTAAAAATATCATATACTTCCATCTTTCATTAGCCCCAACATTTTTCCCTTCAATTCAGGGGCCTAACAATTTTTTTCTAGTAGTACTTCAATTACATTTTCCATCATTTCCAGTGGAGCCAAAGACTCACTATTTTTTGGCTTGGGAATATGATGGATTAAAGCAAAATGACTCACTAAACTGCCTGCGCTTCTTTGCTATGAAACAACGGTCGGTCCATGCAATTTTCGACATGTTTTTCATCATGGGTCATCCTGGAACAGTCTCTCTGTGCAGTACAGGGGTAAGGCTGCATACATCCGACCCCCCTTACCCCACTGTAGATGGGAGCCTTTGCGACATTGAGGTAATGTTGTTGTTGTTGTTGTTGTTGTGTAGTACTTCAGTTATATTGTGAAGGGTCAAACATTTTTCTCCATTTCCAAGTCGTGCATATAAGTATTGAGTAGTGGTTACCAACCTAATACAGAGTTAGTTTCCCCACACGAGATAAGGCAAATAGGTTGCACACTCTTTTCCCTTCAAAGAACTCTAGATGTGTACATTACCCTAAGAGCTACTCCGATCTAAGGGTGGAGGCTTTTGTAAGGTCCTTCCTAGGTCGCACAGGACTATAGGAGAGAGATAGAGAGAACACGACTATTTTTATATATTACGAATGAAGGGACATGTAAAAGAAAATAAAGAGGAGAGAGACTGCTAAAGCAGGAGGTGCCAGACCTAGTCCAAGGGACGGATGCAGCTAAGTGGAAGGGAAGGAAATTCGGCTATGGTGTTTCCGAAACTAATTCCCTCCATGCCCTAGACAATGAAGTTGTTCACAAGTTCCACCATGCATACAATGAATTAATTGACAAAAAAATAACCTTACTATTCCAATTTCCATTTAATGCACCATTGAGACAAAAATCCCAAAGATAAAAGGATACAGAGTTCTAATCAGACAACAGAATATCGTCTAAATCCTAAAATTCTTACTATTCTACAACTCTAAAAATAAAAGACTAATCAAACTAAGAATAGGAAAGACTTATGCTCCATAACTTTATCAGCCCATGGATGAGTCCATAACAGAGATATAGATAGATTTGTGAAATGGGTGTACAATTTTTTTCATGGATCTCATATGAGATTTGTTGCAAAAATGTTGATAAAAAATAGGTTTAGAGTGGTTAAAAAAGGAAAATTTAAAATACATGAGAATACATATAATTCCTAAAGATGAACTGTAAGTTAAAAAATGCGTTCTACACGTAAGAGACTCAACCCAAATAACTAGAAATACATGAGAAAACTACCCTTCCCGTCCACACCCGAGTTCTCAAATTATGGGTTTCTTCAAATTTTCAGCAGCATCGGTGTATGACATTTTAGTCAATCCAATAGCTTATCTTCAAATAAGGTATCTTGTCCACATCAGATCCACGCCCGCTTGAAAGAGAAATATCAGAGAGAGAGAGAGAAAGTATGCCGAAATTGTGCATGGTGATGTTATCTTCCTTCATTTAACGTGTCACGTAATGATATACGTTTCTTAACGTGTTCAATTGATTTTGTAAAACACCCCTTTCCTCCGTATTTTCCATTTAAACTTGGCTCAGTTTTTAGAAAGTTGAAATTGTATGGATTTTTTCCGAAGATAGAAATGACATCAACAACAGAATATTGTATTTAAGAAATGGACAGAGATGGTATTCAATTTAATATAAAAAACAATGAAGATGTATTTTTACCAATGAATGATACCAAGACACTTAAAATGACGCGAAGAAGTACCAACTGATCCATGTGTCTCACAAAGACAGTCCAAAATTATATTTTGGTCGGTCTTGCAAAGATAGCCACTTTAGAATGTATGTTGCTAATGTTTTAATCTTGACCATACTTCATTGCCTCTAATTAATTTATCTTGATAACTGCATTACTTACCTAAGCCTCTTGCATTTATGATCCAAGTTGCCAATAACACCAAACAAACCAAGTGCAAAAATAGCTTTAAGTATTATTGGGGGTTAAAGTCAGCCTCAAGAAATTTCCCACTATATATATACCCCCTTTCCTACACTCTCCACCTCTATCTATCTTTCTTCTCTTCTCATTGATGGACACCCACTAGGTTCGACTATCACTTTCTGCCTTCTTTTTGAATATTTCTTTATTGCTCTTATTTTTTTACTTTGTTGTTATGTCAATAGTAGTTAGAATTGATTCCCAGTAGAATTTGTATTTTGTATTCCGTATATGTTTTCCCTGCCTCTGCAATGTGTAAATTTCTTAAATTTAGGTGCATGTATGTAGTTATATTAGATCTTATAGGAGTTATAGATTAATTTAGATGTGGAGCTTAATATGGTTTCATAGAGTGTTGTGTTAGCTCAATTGGTTTCATGATTTTCAATCTCAAAGTGTAGTAGCCTTCGAGCTGGTGAATTGAGCGGACAAGAAAGCAGTAATGTTGGCCTTCTTTTTGAAACTCTGTGAAATTAAGACAGCACTTGTCATCTCGAATTGATGAATGGCCAAAATGTTATATATATGTAGGGTTTCCGTGGTGCGTTTTTGCTTTGTAGCAATTTTTCTGTTATTTTTGGCAATTCCTTTAATAAACTTTGCACTATTATGCTTAAGATCTGAATTGGAACAAATTTATCTTTGAATTAAGAGCCAGTTCATAATTCCGAAGGTTAGACTTCTATTTACCGAGGAACAGTTTGCCCTCAATGCAGTTTGAAGTACTAACCAATATCCCTTGGATGGACCACCACCTGAAAGAATAGTAGTTAGAAGTTAATGAGCCTGTTTGGTAAGAGGTTATTGGGCTGAAAATGATTAGATCTGCTAAATTATCTAAAAGGAAAAACATTAGGTTGTTGTAGGGAGAATGATTCATCGAGTTTGATTAACGAATGCCCTATAAATAGGGAGTTATTAGCGTTTACAAGGACGGGTCAATAGACCCATGATACATAGTTTACATCATATTGCCCTAATACATATTCTATATACACGATAGCACACTACATAGAATTTCCTTCAACACTCCCCCTTGTACTGAGTTGTAGATAGAATTTGGTATCAGTCTTGTTGCCTCATCTAATCTCTGTCAAGTAACAAAAACCTGGTGGGAAAAAATAACCTTGACCAGACAAAAGAGTACAATCTCATGATAGACTTCTTTCATTAAGTCTATCTTTATTTGATCCTTTCTTTGATCATTAAAGCTTATATGTATCGTTACCTCATGAAAAACCTTACCAAGTAACAAAACCCAGAGGGAAAAATAAAACTTGGTTAAAGGAAAAGAGTGTAACGTAGTGTAGATGGGGAACTCCCCCTCAAATCTACCCTATCCTTAATAATAATAATTACATTAATCAAGGATGTTTGGAAAGTTCATGCATTTCAATACTTTTACGGTAATCACCACATCGAAGGCACACAAATAGAGGAATTTATTTCCTTTAATTCTCCCCGTGCCAAGTATAAGGTGATAAGAGTAAAAAATTTATAACTTGCTAAACCGTTGCCAATGAGCAAAACCCAATGGGAAAAAATAAACATCGGCCGAAGGGAAAAGCAAGTATGATGCAGTTGTAACTCCACAATAATTACTTTTGATAGTAATTATGTTCTTTCTTCAACATTGTTTACTTTTGCAAAATTAAAATGTGGGATAGTGCATAGTGTGTTGTTTCATTAAAAAAACTTTGCCACGTAACAAAACCCATTGGGAAAAAATAAACCTTGGTCAAAAGAGAAAAAGAGCACAACACACCAATATACTTGATGATAAATAAGTATGTACGTAAGAACTCCCCCTAAGTGAAACACATCAATACTTGATATATACTTTTATCAAGGTATTTTATGTATAACATCATGGTTACTTTCATGATAAATATATACTCATTAAGAAAATATCAATGAGGTAAGGGGATCCGATCATCAGTAAAACTCAAATCACGTTACTTTGTGTTAGAGTAATACTTTTGATATTTTCATTTCCTTTAGAAATATTGTTATCATCAATCATTTAATTCAATTTATAAGAGATGATTAAAGATTACACCAATCGTTTCATACAGATATCAAATTACATTCTTGATACCATTCCAATGACGATATACAATGGGTTGTCTCTGAGCTATTTTTAGCTAACACGTTATTGAGAATGTAATATTTGGTCGAATGTGTTTGTCAAAGTACAACCACGCGCATATTGCACTTACATAGGGAATTCCTTCTCCCAATAAAATGGATCTTTTCAAGTATCCATATTTCGACCGATCATGAGAGTGCCAACAGTTTACATTTATCCATGTTAATTTGCCTGAGAATTCTATTGGATATATGCAACTGGTGAATTAATATTCATCCAACTCGGTATTTAATTTCAAAACAGACCCGAGTTTCCCGAGATCCTTTATCTCAATTATGTCTATATCATGGAGATACCGTGATATTTGGAAACGAAACTTAGTTCCATTATAAATGCGCAAGGCATAATATATTCATGCATCCCTTTTCAGTCAAGTGGTCACTTAGACGGGTATGTCACTCCCGTCTGGATTGATTTAATCCAAATTTGAATGTTTCAATGTAAATATACAATGTAATTAAAAACTACTTGATTAGAGATAATGAAAACATAACAAATGTTTCATATATATCTCTTAAATAAATTTTTACTGAGACGTTTAATAGCCACACTCTTTTAGCTACGTCTCCATTACTTTGGAGACTACTTAGAGATTGAGTGGTTGAACATTTTTGTGTTCAAAATAAAGAAGTATAACTTTTCTTATTTGAATCCAGGGCGTTATGAGAATAATTAGGAGCTCATTATCTCAATACGCTTTCTAACAAAGAATTATTTTATGACCTACAGGCTTTACACTTGGTTGATTAGAACTATCACACCAAATACCTGTCTCTTTGTCAAATATTAATTAAATTTATACCTGAATTACTTTTACACATTTAGGCCAATATTCTCATTGCTTTCATATTGCAATGGAGTATGGTTCGATATCATCGTGCTCTATACTTCTTTGAGCAACCGTATAAATATATCGTCAATATAGGTGTAAGGTCTATCATTCGACTCAGACACACTCTCATTAACATTGAGATTTTAATTTCCTGGAATCATTTGAACTTCGGGGCGTCCCCCAATATTGATTCATGGACATATATTTAGTCAGAGAAAATCTCATGAGAGTAATTTATATTATGACAATTATATTGATTTGTGTCTTATCTACCCTTTACCACATGGAGTAGATAATTAATCGAACCACGTGACTTCCCTCTATTCCTTTAGAGAGCCACGGCCTCAACCACAACCCTACTGCTTGTGGTTGCAATGCTTCTTCCTTTAGCATTGTGTCTTTTAATTTGAATTCAAACCTTTTAAATATATTTACAGCTAGTGTATGTGATATGATCACTTACGTTGCTTATTCTAATCCTTTACTTCAATATTACATTTTGAAGTTTGGAAATCATTGTTAAGACATGGTAGGGATGTACCATAATGATTCCTATCATTCAATTAAAGAATTCTCTATTTTCTCCCCTAATGATAGGAAAGTCGACTGTCTTATCAAGGTGACATTCCGCAAAGCAATGTACACACCGTCTGTTAAGGCTAATAGCTGGTTATTGTTGGAGATTCGTATCCAACACAATCCTTTATCTTTTAAGACCGATTATAGTGTGTTGTGGGAGGCACATTAGGCACAATTAGTTAACAACCATATATGCATAAGTAAAACATCTCAGGCTAAGATCCAGTCATCAACTGGTATACATAAAAGTGGTTGTCTACTATCAGTCTAAAAAAACAAATGTATAAGAGTGCTTGCAATATTGCATAATCCAGTCATCAAATATGTATGTAGTTATATTAGATCTTATAGGAGTTATAGATTAATTTAGGTTTGGAGCTTAATATGGTTTCATAGAGTGTTGTGTTAGCTCAATTGGTTTCATGATTTTCAATCTCAAAGTGGAGTAGCCTTCGAGCTGGTGAATTGAGCGGACAAGAAAGCAGTAATGTTGGCCTTCTTTTTGAAACTCTGTGAAATTAAGACAGCACTTGTCATCTCGAATTGATGAATGGCCAAAATGTTATATATATGTAGGGTTTCCGTGGTGTGTTTTTGCTTTGTAGCAATTTTTCTGTTATCTTTGGCAATTCCTTTAATGAACTTCGCACTATTATGTTTAAGATCTGAATTGGAACAAATTTATCTTTGAATTAAGAGCCAGTTCATAATTCCGAAGGTTAGACTTCTATTTACCGAGGAATGGTTTGCCCTCAATGCAGTTTGAAGTACTAACCAATATCCCTTGGATGGACCACCGCCTGAAAGAATAGTAGTTAGAAGTTAATGAGCCTGTTTGGTAAGAGGTTATTGGGCTGAAAATGATTAGATCTGCTAAATTATCTAAAAGGAAAAACATTAGGTAACTCTATTTCAGCCGAATAAGTAAAAAAACTGTTCTGTTGATAAGCAGAATAATACAGAGCTTACTACTGAACGGGGCCACTGTTCCCTTTTTCTTATAGTGAGTTATCTTTCTTCACATGTTGTAAGAGTGAGTGGCCTTAGCTAAGAATAGGGAAATGTGACTAATAGACCTTTCTTTACTTGAACCATCAGCCATGCAGTAATTTCCACATGTCTACAGGTTTTGGATAATCTAATTTCAGATTTTTATAGTAATATTAGTCATTCTTTATTTTTGTTTCCCATTTGGTAAAATGCATCTTAGTTTTGAAAAGATTTCTTATTATTTCATTTCTTCTTTGATTTACACTGTTAATCATTTTTTTGTATCATTACTTAATGCAGCCTTAATTGCATCACTCTGAGAACACATTGGTTGAGAGACCATCTTGGGTTGCGAAGGGTAATGAGTTTTATAAGAACTGGAATGGTGATAAATACTGATGTTCCCAATCCAAAGGAGGAGCGACAAGTGGAAGGATCCAATTCTGAGACAGAAACTCACAAGGAGGATTCAGAAAATGTTGCAAATGTGCCTCCTGTATTTATTAATTATGGTGAGCCCCTATTAATGCTTATGGTTTCAGCATTAGCTATGAATAATGCAGCTGACTAAATTATACTCCGTATTTGCATATTATGTTAAACACATCTCCTGTTACATGGGTTGTGTCCCAGGTGCCCAAGCTTGGGAAGAGAGCCGCAGACAATGGGTCGGGTACACTTCACAGAAGCCAAAGAAGAAAGCAAAAAACCCAATCTTGCCGTAATCTTTTTTTTATCATTAAAAATAGTAATGCTAGAAGTTCAAAAAACCATTTGTTTACAGGAACTGTATGGTTTCAAATTCCGAATAGTGACCAAACCCTTTGCTGTTTTTTTAAATCAATGCATCTGCATTTTCCATGTAACCTCATTGAATTACCTTCTTTTTTTGGAGAAATGGTATATTTTCATGTTACTAATTACTATAGTTTGTATTTTTAAGCAAAGCATTTGTGGTGATGCCAAACATTAGCACTCATTAAGCTTGTAACAAATGGTTCTCTTAGTTGGTTAAACTATATTTGCAAGAATATGATTATCAATGTGAAGCAATTAAAGGGTGCCCGAATGTTCCTTAGCTTTATAATTCATTAGACTTTTTTTTGTTAAAATTGTTTTTTATGGCCTGACCTCATCTAAAATTGTGTGCAGTTGGTGGTCACTGAGATATGAGGACGTGCTGTTAACTTCTAGGCCTTTCCCGAAGCCAATCCCTTTATATGTAAGCAATCAAAAAAGCAATATTCTGTTAGTCATGTATCTATTCTTGTACTATGCATTATGTTAATGCGATATCTTAATTCTATACTTTTGTTTTACCCGTTTGATCATGATCTTTTTTATTCTAATGCTGCTAAAAAATCAAGTTGTACAAAAAGAAAAAGTACTAAATTGTAAGCTGGTTTATTTAATTACAGGAGATGGTGGACTTTTTAGTTGACGATTGGTGGTCTAAATGGATTTCCGACTAAGAGAAATGGTGGGGTTGAAGAGGTGCAGTGAACAGCCAGGATAGCAGTGAAATTGCTGTTGGTTAATAACGTAGCAGCCATTTAACCCCAGCAAGTTTAGATAAGCATGGACTTATTTTATTACTGTTTGAGATAAGATTGTTTTGTTTAGTTGTTTGTTTATTGGTCATCACCCATCTTTGTTATAATGTTGTGTTGTACTACCATTTGTCTGGCTGAAATAAATAAACATTTAGCTAAAACTTGTCTATAGGCAAAACAACTACCACTGCTAAACTTGACTGTGAGTGTCTCGTTGTACAGTGAAACCCCAACTGTAGGACCTGGTTGTATCAAAGGTTTAGAAGTGCAATTGTGCCAGCTCCAAAACATTACTTAATATTATTGTTCTAAAAATTGGTCTAGTCGGTTCGAATATGGATGGACTCGGGTCCGGGCCGGGTCCGGGTCGGGCCTAGGCCCGGGCGGGCCGGCGGGTCAGAGATGGTGGACCCGGGACCGGCCCGGGTCCGGGCCGGGCCCATTATATTTTTTTTTTGTTTTCCTCTTCCTAATTAACCCCCCTCCCACCCCCAACCCACCAAACTAGTTTTTGGCCCGAACCGGGCCCGGGCTCGGCCGGGTCGGGCCTTGTTTTGGGTGACCCGAGCCCGGACCGGAAAACCCACGGGCCGGGCCTACCCGGACCGGTCACTGACCAGGCCACCGGGTCGGGTCGGGCCGGAACAGTACCGGTCCCGGGCTGGTTCCGGGTCGGGCCACCCGGCCTGAGTCCATCCATAGGTCCGAATAATCAGCGTTTAAGTGCTAGGCGGCCTTTAATTGTGGAGGACTAATCGGTCTAATTAACCAACAAATCAGCCTAGCCAGCGCCTAGTCAGTCCGTAGGCGCTAAACTCCCCTCGGCCGTCTGACTAGCGCCTAGCGAATTCTAGAATAGAGCTTGATGTAGAGTATATGCAATGATGCAATCCCATTGCTCTTAGAAAAAGATTGTTGCGACAATGCTTTTTTGTGAACATGTCAGGATAGTGATAACCGATGCGAGGATGTGGAACAATAAACAATGCCTAGTAGCCAAGAGCCCACTTTTCACACACAAAATGGTATCCATCCATCTCTATGTGCTTAATTAGTGGATATGCAAAGCATTGCCAAAGGGCTAGCACAATAAACCAATGTTACTTTAAGCAAAGGATGAAGTTCAAAAGGAGGTTACACAAGGATAGGGATGGATTCGGTTCGGGCCACCCGGCCCGTAGCCCGGCCCGGCCCGGTACTGTGCGGGTCCGGGACCGGCCCGGGACCGGGTATGGGCCCGAACCGGTGGGAAGGGGCAGGGCGGGCTCGGTTCAGCATTATTGTGACCCGGCCCGGCCGGGTCGGGCCCGGGTCTGGTTCAATTTTTAAAAAAAAAAAAATTTTTGGTTTGGGCTCCTACTAGCCGTTGGGGGTGGGGCTGGGGACAACCCAAATGGCTATATAGCCGTTGGGTGTGGTAAAGGGGGGGTTCGGGGGGGTTGGGTGGTGGGGGGGGGGGTGGGGGGTAAAAAAAACCTATAAATACTCCTAATCTTAAACATTTTTTCATATCTCTTCTCCAATTCTTCCTAAATCCTATTCTTATCTCTCTACTCTCTAATTCTCTTATTCTCCAATATATTATATATCTACTCTCATATTCTCTTCTCCAAGAAGTTAAGATGGAAAATCAAAATGCCATTATACGGTATAATTTTGATAAGCAGAAGGACCCGAAGACCGGGATGTGGTACGCAATTTGCAAATGGTGCGAAAAAAAATGTATCATGGGGGCTTCAGGCGGATTCGGGATGACAATCAAGCATATGAAGTCATGTGACAAAGCCAAAGGATCGGGAGGTGCAGGAAGTTCCGATTGATTACAATTTTCAAAATGTTTATCTCTTAAAGTTTGTTTTAATTTTCAAATGTAGTTCCTATTTCATTTCAAATAAATGCAATTGAAGTTTGTTTTTAATACTCGTATAAAACTATAAACTATAAAATATAAATTATAAAAAAAATATTAACCGGCCCGGCCCGAACCGGACCCGACCCGTGACCCGGGCGGGTGGCCCGGCCCGAACCGGACCTGTCCAACCCTCGGACCGGTCCCGGGCCCACTATTCTAGAACCGGCGGCCCGACCGGGCCCGACCCGGCTCGAATCCATCCCTACACAAGGATAAGTTGTGAAAGAGCTCAAGTGATGGGAGAACAAAATATAAGCACCCAACAAGCTCTTCAAAGGTCCCAATATTTCAAGAAAAAGGGGAAAAGGAAGGTCATTAATATTTTGATGTGTAGGTATATTGGTCCAGCTAGGGATGGACTCGGGCCGGTTTAACCGAACCGGAACCGGCCCGAACCAGCACTGTTCCGGCCCGGACCTGCCCGGTCCACGGTTCCTTGAGCGGTTCGGGCCAACCGGCTCGGCACTGTAGAGGGCCGGTTCCCGGGCCTTGATTTTGATGAACCGGACCGGCCGGTTCGTGCCCGGTTCAGGCCAAAAAAAATTTCTCCTTTTTTAAAAGGTAAATGGGTTGGACTGGGTGTTTTGGAGGGGTTTGGGGTGTGGGGGTGGAGGGGGTAGGAAGTAATTAGAAAAAAAAGGTGAACCAGCCCGGCCCGGTAACCGTCGGGTGAACCGGCCTAACCTAGGCCCAGAGCTACCTGGGCCAGTTTCCAGGCCTCACTTCTCAAAAAAAAAAACCGATCGAAACCGGACTGAGGCCCAACCCGGCCCAAACCGAGGCCATGCCTAGGTCCAACTATGGTTCCTGGACATAAACAACATCTCTTGCACTGTTGACTGTGGTGCAAGTTAAATCCGGTTTATTTGTTTTTCTTTTAAGGATGTTTTTACTTGGACTGTAATTCGTCCCAGACCAGACCAGACCAGACCAGTTCAGACCAGACCAGACCAGACTTAGATAGTTATAAAAATACAAAGAAACCAGACCATACCAGTTCAGACCAGACCAGACCAGACTTAGATAGTTATAAAAATACAAATAAACCAGACCAGATCAGACCAGACCAGACCAGCTCAGACCAGACCAGACCAGACTAGACCAGACCAACAAATTACAGTCCAAGTAAAAACATCCTAAGTTTTAAGGTAAAAAGGCAAATATTTTATACTGTAGTTACTTCAAATTTACTGCAAATTCTTATCACATTAATAGATAACAGGCAGCAAATTCGCGCGCTGAAGTTTGTAATAAGCAGAAAAAGTAAGGTTGCAGTTTCTTTTCTAGTTGTATTGGCTGAAGTTACTGTAAAGAATCATTTTAACTATTTTTCATATAATTTTTTATTTATGTCAAATAACAAATACTTTAAATATAATATTTTCATGAATCAGCAGAATCCGCCAATACAACCATTTTGACCAGAACTTCATAATATTCAGCAGAATCATCCAATTCAGCCAATTTTAGTGTTACCAAACGGGCTCTAAAATTTGCAATACACAAGATAGTTCATATTTCTTGACACATAAAGATTATTCATTAAAAATTATCAAAACTACTATAAAACCTTGTATATATAAAAACATGTTACAAGTCAAATATTTTAATACGTTGATTTGTATTACAAATCAAATATAAAACCTCATCCTATAAAATTACTATCTTCGTCCCGCTATGATTGTTCCATTTTACCTTATCGGTCCGTCCCACTAAGAATGTCTCATACCAAATTTGATAAAGTTTGTGTGGCTCTAAATCTTTCTTACTTTATTCTTACTTTATCAATTCAATATCAATCACTTACTTTTTATTAATTTGCGTGTCACTCCCTCTTGTCCCATTCTTAACGGGACGGAGGGAGTATATGTTAACGTTGAGTTTTACTCAAAAACCCCATATTAGCCTTGAACCAAATACCGTTCTACTTTGTAGCAACACATTCAATACATAATAAAATGTTGCATATCTATAGAAACAAAATCAATTGATCATGTCTAGTCACTAAGTTTTTTTTTGTATCGGGCACACATCGCACTAAGTGCGTACACCGCTAGTAGTTATCAGAGATGCAAAGATACATTTGCGACCGCCAATCTGGTTTAGACCACACTTGAAAATTGAAATGTCACCCAAAAAAAGAAACTTACTCTCTCTAGTCAGCTCTTGGAATGAATTTTCCAACTATTTCATCGTGTACTAAAATTCAAATATGCTATGGAAGTAATGCAATATTTATTCATGGTTCACCGCAACAAGAAGATTTGACAAGCATTAAACCCTAATTGCATAATATACCTAACTGTCAAGTTCTCTGTAACTCTGTCTACTTGAAACACCATTACTACTAACAGGACCTGCAGAAGTTTGAGGGGGCAGGTCAGAGGTTGCACCGCCGCCTGGAAGATAGGCAAATGTTCCATCACTCTCACCCCATGTAGATTCGGTGTACTTGAACTCATTGTCATAAAACTTAGCAAAAGACCTGTCATAGCTTGCCACATTTCTACCGGGTGTTCCTACACCCAAGCCATAAGAGCTATTATTATTACCACCTCCCTAACCAAGACTTCCTCCACTTTGGCCAGAAACATTCCGCCCCCTTGGGCAGGAATACCAGATGAACCCCAAACTCCTCAGCTGTTAAGCACTCCCCTTCCAAAGTTGACACTCCCACCCACCCAAATTATTTGAGTTTGTGGTGTTAATATCATAAATTAACCCTCCATTACCCCACAAGTTTCAGTGGAGTTGAAAAAGGAAGAGCTTCCTCCATTTCCGCCATCAAGCCCGATAGGACCGCCGAACCTACTTGTGTTGTTATTATTAGCATAATAAGGACCACAGCCATAGTTCAAAGTAGTGTTGAAATTTGCACCTACCCCATACCCCGGACTCAATCCAGGTTCAAATTTAAGGCCCATTCCATACCCAGAGCCTAAAGGGGCATAGTTGCTTCTACCCCCAGCCATAGGGCTGAACCTACTGTTCATCCTCACTGCATACCCTCCTCCAACAGCACTTGGAGAATACGTTTGTGAATAACCATTCAGTAAGTTATCAATCCTACTTGATCCATAGCTATATCCACCCCTAGTGGACTTCGGGCAGTAGGGGCAGGAGACAACTCCTTGGGAACAGCACATTTGCCATTCAATTCGTGGAAAGTCTTCAATGAGACATTGTCCACTGCATCCTCAGAATCAAAAGCCTCTTGTCCCAAACTGCTCAAAATACTTCTTGAAGTCACTCTCAGTGACTGTGGAAGCTAATCCACCTACAAAAATCTTTCTTGTGCGTCTTGGACCAGGAGAACCTTGAATAGCTACTGCTTCAGCTCATTGTGATTTGGTCATCCCTGGGAACAGCTTTCTTGGCCTCAACCATCCTGCCATCAATGTTGTGTTTATCCTTAATGACTTTGTCCGCAACAGTGGGATCACTAAACACGATAAACCCAAATCCACGGGCACACCCAGTTAACTATAGTACTACCTAGGAATGAATCATTTTGATTTGAAAATTTAGTTATTCGTTGAGCCTTATTAACCAAATGTTGTGAAAAGTAATGCATCATCATTTTCATTTACCCCAGTGCCACAAAGGCTCCCACCTACGGTGGGGTAAGGGGGGGTCGGATGTACACAGTCTTACCCTGTACTAAAGCACAAAGAGACTGTTTCCGGATGACTCATAGTGAAAATCTCATCCAAAATTGCATGGACTAACTGCTGCTTCATAACAAAGAAGCGCAGACAGTTTAGTGAGCCATTTTGCTTTTTTCCATCATAATCTCAAGCCAAAAAATAATGAATCTTTGACTCCATTGAAAAGTAATGCATCAAACTTTTTTTTGAAGCGTACAAGGTTGAGTATGAAATGAAAAAATGTTAGCAGATTAATGTACTTTAACTAATGCAGAGCATTTTAATGTGAAATTAATCCATTCGTCCCACTTGACTTTGCCAACTTTCCTTTTTTGTTTGTCCCAAAAAACTTTGTCACTATCCTTTTAAAACAATGAATTTGTGGTTCTATTCATTTCTCTCTCCTCTGCACAAACCTCAACCACACAGTTTTTTCTATTCTAATTTGCCATCCATCTTCAACTTGGCAAAGTTGAGTGGGTCGTAGCTAGTACAATTTTTAGATTGTATTTAGTAACGAGAAGCAGTAAATGGTAGGAAGGGCGAGTAAAAGGAGTCATAGAACTCGTTGTTATGAAAATATTATAAGGCACCGAAAATATTGTGATGTAAATATTTATCCTTGGAGTATGAAATGAGAAATTGTTGGCAGGGTAATATATATTAACAAAGGTAGAGCATTTTAATGTGATAATACATTAAAATTTGTAGGAAGGGTGAGGAAAGGGATCCATAGTACTCGTTTGTATGAAAAACTGTAAGGAATTGAAAATACTCTGATGCAAGTGTTTATCCTTATCATTTCCAGCAGTTGGCATGGTAAATTTTTATTTAAAAGAATTACAGTTAGGTGGTGCATAGCAATAGTGCAGAGATAGATTTTGTGTAATAGGCATTGTAGTGAAGACCTTATAGGCATTTGTTGAGGGCATTGTTTATGGTCGTGTTTGATATGATCAAAACCTGTCTTTATCTCTGCATATATGTGGTCAAACATTAGCAATCCGGATTGGACTGCAATGGTTGCGCACTGTAATTATGTACTCCCTCCGTCCCGTTGGAAGGTTCCCATAGCAAAACAACACGGTTATTTAGGCAATAATTAAATAAAGTACTTCGAGTATATTTTGAGAAATAATTTTAATAGGTATATATTATAATGTAGTTAGTATTGATAACTGTGATGTTATAAATGCATTATTTTTAATATTTAATGATTAATTTGTCACTTAAGATTGTTAATTGTTTCCTAAAATGGAAATGGGAACCTTCTAACGGGAAGTCCAAAAAAGGAAAGTGAGAACCTTCTAATGGGACAGAGGGAGTAATAATGTTGTGCCTGTGATACTCTCATATGTAATTAATCACATACACAGCGAATAACTTGTTTTTGTTGGTTTGGATTAATGAATCTGAAATAGAAGAAGCAGATGTGTTTCCCTAAAGTGTACGACAATTGTCTTTTCAAAAGCTGAAAGTATGTTTGAATAATAAATTGAAATATAATCCAATGCAACCATGATGGAGAATATGCAACCATGTTTTCAAAAAATTTAACAGAAAGAATTATATATTAATGACTAAATGTGGTTGGACAATTTTTTTCATTGATAAGCTAAATTGTATTGCAGTGGCAATTGATAGTTTTCGAGAACAAAAGAAACACCGACTCTTTGAGTGTCTTCTCCTTTTAGTCTTTTGAAATCCACTATAATCTTTATCTACATCTCCCTTTAAGAATGTTTATACTTGAATTTATTTTAGATCCAAACCAGATCAGGCCAGACTAGATCTAGACTAGTACTAGTTCAGACCAGACTTTGACATAGAATACACAGAGACTTGACATTTACCTGACCAGACTAGATCAGACTAGATCAGAATCAGACCAAGTAAAAACATCCTAAGTCATCGATTGTGTCCTCCTCCTCCCTTCTAATAGGTTGCACCTGAAAAGGGTGAATCGGAGAGGAAAGATGCAAAAGAATACTAACACTGTTTTTGAAATTTTCATAAGAAAAAATAAATAAATTTAGACTACATCTCAGGAATTATATTTAGGAATCTCTCTATGTGGGATTACCTTCTGATGCTGTTCAAGAAACAAAAGTAGTGACAAGTACGGAACTTTTATCATAAAAAAGAATGAGATAAAACTATACCACACTGACCTCAGCTTCTATCTTCATAGTCTTGAGCATTCCAATTTTGAATCCAGGGTCGTATTCTAATGTTTTCATCTAATACCAATTAAAATTTCAAATATATTAAATCAAGGTAAGCAGGATCCCAGGATTTTAAATATGTTCACTCTGTGATTCAAGGCAACAATGCTTACCCACTCTCTGCATAATTTTAGTTCCTGCAAAAAGAAAATAAAACATCACATATAAACCAGAATTTTGGATTTATAAGTATTTTGACTAAATTAAACACAGGAAAATCAAAACAAAATGCAAGCTTCTGTGTGTTTGACTAAATTTTGGATTTACAAGTTCTGATGCTACATTTTTTGCAGACAAGTCCTCAGTCTCTGTACCTTGTTTCCAGTCATTTGAATAAGTTTACTATTGGACAACAGTTATGGGAAACTTCATGATTAGAATAATTCAAACCTCTGTGCAAGATTAACAACTCAATGACTTTTTATGTATTTGACCAAATAAAACATGAGCGAAACATCAAACATGCCAACAACTTCTTTTCTAAAGAATATTAGGATATGTTGTTTGTAGTAGAGCATTCATCAAGGCCTAATTTTCCTGCACATACAAAAATTAAAATAATATTTACACCAGTACAACTTTACAACTTTAAAAATACAAAGGAATTTACCATTTCGTATTTTTCAACGATTGGTTGCATCTCCATTGCCGGTGTGTGATATGTTCCGTTACTTGGGCTCCATAATTCAGAAGGATGGTGAATTAGATGGAGATGTATCTCATAGAATCAGAGCTGGGTGGATGAAATTGAAGAGTGCATCAGGATTCTATGCAACCGAGCCACCAAGGTATGTCGACTAGACTGAAAGGTAAATTTATCGAACAGCAATTAGGCCTGCATTAATGTATGACGTAGAGTGTTGTGCGGTGAAATAATGTCACATTCAAAAGATAAGTGTGACAGAGATGTGTATGTTGTGTTGGATGTGTGGGCATACCAGAAAAGACCGTTTGAAGAATGAGATAATCAGACAAAAGGTGGGAGTAGCACCTATTGAAGATAAGATGCAGGAGTCTCGTTTGCGGTGGTTTGGGCATGTGCGTAGAAGACCCAATGATGCACCTGTTACACAACTTAATGGGTGGGGAGAAGAGGCAGAGAGGAGAGGGAGAGGAAGACCCAAACAGACTTGGATTAGAGGAATCAAAACTTATATGCGTCTTCATGGGTTGGATGAGAGTATAAATTTGGAGAGGGCAAAGTGGAGGGCACACATTCGTGTGGACGAGTGATCTCTTTTCTATCTTTCCTCTCTTTTTCTTTTATCGTTTATCTTTTTTATCTTTTATCTTTCTTATATTCTTATGTTATTGTTATCTTATACTACGTATTTATTTATCTTTATCTTATCCGTTTTATCTTACTTTTTTTCTTCTTATTGACTGTCTTCTCTTTTTGGCATCGATATCATGGATCGATTCATGTTAGCCGACCCCAAATCTTTTGGGATTAAGGCTTGGATGTTGTTTGTTGTTGGTTGCATCTCCATTGCAATACCTTTCTGATTTGCTTTAGGTAGATTTATTTGATGTGGCAATTTACTGATCTCTGCAACATTTCGCATAGCCGCATAGGTAACTTCATTTTCAAAACTCAACAATTTTCTTAGTTCAAACATAGCTAAAAAGTCCTTTCTAAACTAGCCAAAACAATATAAACATATATTATGCTGGAACAGCTTAGGAGAAGCTGGGAGTGAGCGCAGACCGTCTGAGAAGATTACCTTTGTAGCGGCGACTTCTCTTTTCCAGCGAAGATGAAGTTCAACATTGCAAATCCGACTACGGGTTGCCAGAAGAAGCTCGAGATTGACGATGAACAGGAGCAAAGGGAGAGACGCGGTCAGGGTGTAGCAAAGAAGAGGTCCAAACTCTCAACTACTTCTAAGCCATCGGTTGCTAGCTGCTTAAGCCACATTGCATTAATGTATCCTTTCTTTATTAAACTTCTTTGTTTGTTACCTAGTTTTGATGTTTTAAGTTTTGGAGATTTTGTTAAACAGTTGAGACTTGATACTGCCTTTATTTATATTTAGATTGAAATGTTTGGTGGTGTGTGTGTGTGTGTATAATGCTGGAACATTAATGCCTCAAATAAAAATAAATAATCAACATTAGATGCCTACCATGTGGTGATTTTAGAGGGGAGGTTCTCAAAAATCAAAATATTACTGCCTCGGTCCCGTTAAGATTGTCCCATTTTTCTTTTCCGGTTTGTCCCACTAAAATTGTCCCATAACCAATTTTGTAATGTTTACATGGTTCGGTGAAATTTTCTATTTTCCCTTTTCAGTCCTGGGCTCCTAGCTACTCCATGTTTCAGCATCTCAGTCACAGGTTTATTACCTTCTGCAAGCATACTGAGGAAAAAACGGTTAATGAATTCATAAAGAAAGCATTTTGAAAAAATAATGTTACTTGCAAAATTGAATGAATAAAAGACACTTGAAACTTTACCGTCTAAGAGATTCTCTGATGCTCAAGAAATACTCCACTGTAAGCTTTTTCCCTTGCCAGACTTAGGGTTTGCATCTTTTGCCTGACTAGAAATGCATCTTCCCACTTGCCTGCATCTGCATAAATATTATACAGAATGACTCTGCTTGGACCATGGGATGGCCCCACTTTCGCCAAGTTCTCAGCTGCCCTTTTCGCAGTTTCTGTGTTTCCGTGTGTTCTGCTTGCTGCTAAAAGTGCACCCCACACTACAACATCGGCCTCCATAGGCATACTCTCTATAAGCCTTTCTGCTTCATTCAACCTTCCGGCTCTCCCCAAAAGATCCACCATGCAACCATAATGTTTGATGTTTGGTTTTATTCTATAAAACTCCTTCATCCTCTTGAAATATTGCTCACCTACTTCCACAAGCCCAGCATGGCAGCAAGCAGTCAAGACACCAATGAATGTGATTGGGTTGGGTTTTATGGCATTATGTCTCTCCAAAGCAGAGTAAATTTCAAGTGACAGCTCAGCATGACTGTGCATAGCTAATCCACATATAATCGCATTCCAAGGTGAGACATCAGTTACTTTATCTTGGATTTTGTAGAACAGCTCTAAAGCTGTATCCACACTGCCACATTTAGCATACATGTCAATTATGGCTGCACTCAGATTGTCGTTTAAAGGAATACAGTTCTTGGATATATACTCATGGGCCTGTTTACCATCTTCCAATGTCCCCAGAGTAGAAATCGCAGAGAAGACACTTACCATTGTGATTTCATTTGGTTTTATGCCACAAGCCACCATTCTATGAAAGAGTTCCAGTGCCAAAACTGGCTGATCCGTTTGTGAATAACCAGATATCATTGAACTCCAAGAAAAAACATCCGGATCGGGCATCCTGTCGAATAGAGACCGGCCTGCGTCAACTTTACCATTTCTAACTAGTCCTGCAATTAGAGCATTCCAACACACGGGATGGTCCTTGTTACCTAATTCAAACTGGACACAAGCAAGATCAGTTTCCCCACAAGCAGAATAAAGATGGATTATTGTTGCCTGGACAAAGTCATGGCTATCCAACCCTGTCTTCAATGCCACACCATGAAACTGTTTACCCTCTGCAATTGCCACCATTCTTGAACAAGCAGAAATCAAATCCACGATCATAATATCATTAGGTTTCAAGCCAGTACGAAGCATTTTAATATATAATGTCAAAGCCTCATGTAACTTTGCTGCAAGGATATAACCATCAATTACAGTACCCCAAGAAACCACATCCCTATCGACCATCTTCTCAAAAAGCTCTATCATTGGGTGTACAAGCTTAGCCTTTGCATAACCATTTAACATCACATTCCATGTAACAATATTCCTTTCCGGCATTTCATCAAACAGAATATTAGCATCCCTGAGAGAACCACTGACACAATAGACATGTAGCAAATTAGTGGAAACGTGAACAAACCCGTGAAGACCAAGCTTCAAAACCAATCCATGAAGCATTTTCCCACTCCGGATCCCCCCACATTCCAAACAAGCTGATATCATACTCCCAATAGTCACCTCATTGGGAACCAGCCCCAAGCATCTCATCTCTCTAAAAGCATTGATCGCCTTGTTCAAGAGTCCCTTGCGAACTAAAACCATGAGGACAGTAGTGTACGATGCACAGTTCTTATGGGGCATTTTATCAAACAGTCGGCATGCCTCATCTACACATCCTAGTTTAGCATAAGCAGACATCATAATGTTACAAGAAACAGGATCTGACCATGGGAGCAGATCAAATATTTTCTTAGCATCGTCAACGGATTGGCATTTTGCATAGAAACTCATTAAACTGTTCACAATGAAAATGTTGGTATCAAGCCCAGATTTCAAGATAAGGCAATGAAGCTGCTGGCCTTGGGGGATAGAGGAGAAGGCCGAACAGGACTTCAAAGAAGAAACCAAAGAAAGTTCGTAATCAGGGGATCGAATAGGCCCTATTTCTTGTATTCTGGAGGGAATAATTTGTGGACTAGACGAAATGAACCGGTGGATCACCAGAACTGACATCTGAAACTGGTTCTTTGAGAGTTTTGGTAGATACAGACACTTCAAGCATCGTATATATCTTCCTATCATGCCCACCAAATACTTAGTCTTCAGCTTCTGTCAACGCTCAACAGCTCCGTCGTGCACAACCTGATCCAGCAAATGTCTGGCTTTAAGTTATAGAATTCTTGTAAATCATTTGTCACCTGAGAGGCGGAGTCTGGTTATTATTTGTTGTTTTCTACTTTTCTCAATGATACTGCCTCCCAAAATGTTTTCCAAAAGCTTTCTAATTTTTGATAAACTAAAATTAATATAACTGTCAAGAACATTATTTTTTATTGTAAATGGCTTATATTAAAATTCCAGAATTGAGGCAAGTTATATCAAGACAAAAAGTCACATCCTGATCACTAGCCAAAAAGTCAAGAACATTATTTTTAATTTATTAATTCATGCGTAAGTCAAAATTGATCAAATTTTATAGGACAAAAATGCTATTTTTTGGTAGTATATTTTTCAAGAGAAAAGGGTCAAATAAGGCCATCTACTATTATGAAATCGTCACATAAGGCCATGTACTCAATAAAGTGTCATATAAATATGTCTACTTGTAAAAAACAATCAAATGAGTCGTAATCACCCGTTGACAACCTCTTAATCCCGATTTTAGCGTACTTCTGACCATCTTTTTAGAATAGATTATACGATAGACGCCAGATATTTAACTAAGGTTGATTGAAATGTAAGTAAAAAAATCGACACATAAGCTAAAATCGGGATTAAGAGGTTGTCAACGGGTGATTAGGACTCATTTGATTGCTTTTTACAAGTAGACGTATTTATATAACACTTTATTGAGTAGATGGCCTTATGTGACGATTTGATAATAGTAGAAGACCTTATTTGACCCTTTTCTCATTTTTCAATTTTGGTAATATCTTTCTTTTAGGAGGTTGACTTCGTATTTAACACTAGATGCATATCTTGATTTAGGAGATTAATATATCTCTTTTATATAAAAAATACACATGTTAATAAACAAATTCCCATGTTATTAAAAATAAAAAATTGAACCAAAGATATTAATCTCAAATATATATTTGTATATCAAATACACACGTTAATAAACAAATTCACAGGCGAGATGTTTTTGTTTGTGCAATCACGAAGAGCTCATAAATATTGTTACTGAAATGTATCTTGTCTTGAAGTAAAACTGAGTTCCAAGTAGTCCATTTAATACTGTGTCATAGATCAATAATTTAGATCACCCTACAATGCAATTTTAAAAGCTCCATTTCTTTATGGGTTTAGCAGCTTATGCTCATGGGGTATGTGTTCTATATGGCTCTAAGTATAGAAAAATGCAAGAAATTTCACTATGGATGGAGATATTTTCATATATACTTTCATGCTTATTAGGTCTCTTCTTAGAAATGTGAACTTGTAATGAAAGGTTGAATATAGCAATCCCTGTAGTTAAATCTTCTTTTAATTGAGTTACTCATCTCGCTATAAAAGTGAATGAAATATAAACCATAAGATGTAAAGAAATTAACAGCATTTCTCAGCAGTGTCTAACCACCATTCATACTTCATACAGATTCAAGAGCCATGAATACTTGAAAACATTTCACTTAAGGATTCAAATTTCAAAAACAACAAATATTTAAAAAAAATACTTTTAAACTACATAATTTTACAAATGAAGACTGATTTCTTAATATAATAGATAAACTAAAAATGAAAATAGACAATTTTAAATGTAATGGATACAATGAATATAATGCACAGACAAATCAAGTTAGTATAAATAAATATGCAAGATTGAAAGATATACTACCAAATCTAATATAGGTATAGTTATAGTGAGATTTAAAATTTTGACCATAGATTTAAAAATCATAAATGATAAGAGCATCTAATAAATGTCTCTCTTATCTAGAAAATAAAACCAAAGACAGAGTTTTTCATGACAATAGTTGATAAAATTGGAAATTGAAGCACCCAAGAAGTTGAAATACCTGGTTATGAAAGACTAGAGAATTGTTGAATAGGAGCCCGCACAGGACAGGATCTAGCATTTTAATTCAGTGTAAGCCAAAAGTTAATATAAAACAACTAAATTGCAGCAACAAAGTACTAATATATAAAATAAAGCATTACAAATGATCTACAAAATAGGATTTTATATCAAAGTCAAGTAGAAAAAACACACCATAATTGTTCTCTACGAGTATCACTTTAAACCTATCTTCACTAGCTTGATAGCTTCTTCTTCAATCCTACTATAATACTCCACTAGATTATATTTAAAAGCTTCTGACAATAAAACCCAGATGTAAAACTGAACATATACTGATAAACAATGAGTTGATGACCTTAAACTAGGCATGTGGTATGATGAAAAAACAGTTATAATGAAAAATCTGCAAAAGACGAAAAAATGGCAATGAATCAAAACCGCGTTGGATTTAAATATACAAATACAAAAAAATAATAAAATTGGAATTTGTGGTAAGAAACCGAAAACAAATTTAAAGTAGGATTGGATGTAAAATGGGTAGACAGGGCAGTCAATCCATTATATTTATCAATACGAAAAAACGGAAACAAAATTTACTTAAAGTGAATCAACTGATTGAATCAATACCTTAGGAGTTGCAAGAGAAAATCCCAATTCAGTCAGTCCGATGTGCTTCAATTAGAATAGGAGGTATGTTTTCCTTGTGATGGACCTGGAAGAGGGGTACATGTCAAGTCTTGGACTGGGGTCATGTTTTCTTAGGCCTGTTTTGTTCCCAAATTTTTTGTATCCTTCTGGCGACATGGCCGAGCGGTAAGGCAAGGGACTGCAAATCCTTTTAAGCCATTCTTTCCAGTTTCACGGAGGAAAGTGCCTGCTCGACAAGAGAATAGCAAGTCACAAATGATGTTTTGCCAGGACCCCAAATATCTCCTTTTTTATCTCGTATCAAAATTTGTTAAAATTTGTATGCCTCTAAACCATTCTTATTTTATTCTTACTTTATCAATTCAATATCAACCACATAAACCACTTTTTATTAATTTACGTGTCACTCCCTTTTGTCCTATGGTTCGTTAGCGGGACGGAGAGAGTACCAAACATGAATACCCGAGAAGCTACAAGGATAACACCAGGTAAAGAAACCCAATTTTGGTTGTTCGAGATTAAATTAAAATTATCACAATAATCATGTCTACAATAATTGAACAATTGTATTTTGAAATAATGGCCTCTATATTACTATTAGATTATTCAATTCCAAAAATATTACCTTTTTTATTTTCCTAAAATATGACCATTGTTATTAAAACATACGTAATATCTAAATAAATAAATTCGGAGACCACTTCATCGTTCCAACGCATCATCCTTCCAGCGCATCATCTTTCCAGATCCGGAGACCAAATTCGGAGATCTAGAAAACAGATCCGACATACAGTTCCGTTCCTGCGCAGATAGCCATTGCTTCGCATCATCAGCTCGTCGGCCGTCTCCTTTGCGTCGCCTACTGCCGTTCGTTGCCTTCCGTTTCCGCCTCCCTACGCCAATCTTCATCTCCTTCAATTTCTTTCCAATCGCGCGCGGGGGAGTCGGTTGAAGGGGCGTTTACATAATTGATGGGGGCGAAGAGGCGATATTCAGATCTAGATCTGGAATGGCGACGGCGGCTAAGGTTACGCTAGGGCGGTGGTAGGGCTGGTGGGGTCGTGGCGGGGATGGCTAGGCTGCGGTGGGGTCAAGTATTGGCTGGTTGGGGCAGTAACACAAGAAGGGTTGGTCATTCGTCGTCGTCGTCGCCGGCCAGGGGCTGGGGAGGTGGTTGTCACAACGGCATGGCCAGGTGGCAACTCTGTTACGCAGGGGAGGGGGACAGATCTGGGCTTGGCCTAGGGCTGGGGAGAGGAATGAATTGGGTTGTGGGTGATGGTGGCTGGGCAGGGGCGACGCTAGTGGTGGGCGGTGTCACTGGGCGGCGCAGATAATTAAGTATGACCGGTGTTGGATGAAATTCACTAGATTAGTGATGGAGTTGGGCAGAAGTCACTGAACAGTGACCGGAATCAGCGACAGGAGTTGGGGTGGAAGCCACTGGACAACGATCGGAGTCAGTGACCGGAGTTGGGGCGGAAGTCACCGGTAAGTGACCAGATTTGGGTGAAAGTCACTGGGTTAGTGACTAGTGAAGGTGGTGATGGTCGTTGGTCACTGGACGGCAAAATTGGCTGTGGCAGCAGCGGTGCAGTGTTCAGGGGTCGGTGCTGGGTTGTTGGGGTGGCTAGAACACATGGACTAATTACTAATCATATAAAAGGAATATTATAATAACAAATGCAATATCTTCTATTATACAAAGGCAAAATAAAAACTGCACAGTGTTCCCGCCCAAACACTGTGCAGTCATGGGTCGTGCCTGTTAAAATGGGTCCAAAATCGGGTCATGCTATATTTATATTTTGTTGCTCAGTGAAGTAAATGTTGGCCCAGTGACCAATGCAGTTTTAGTTGAACAGGCATTGTACTCGAAATTCCACAGGCAACACATTTACTCTTTTTGCTTTTCTTGAGCCACACAACATTAAATGCAATGTACTGGCTGTAATAGTAAATGGCAACTTCACATTTAATTGTGTGCCTTGACCAATGGTTAATCCGTATTTTGTTGCTCAGTGATGGTAAATGATGGCCCAGTGACCAATGCAGTTTTAGTTGAACAGAGGGCTGCAATTCTAATAAAAAATGGGGAGCATTGTACTCGAAATTCCACAGGCAACACATTTACTCTTTTTGCCTTTCTTGAGCCACACAACATTAAATGCAATGTACTCGCTGTAATAGTAAATGGCAACAACACATTTAATTGTGTGTGCCTTGACCAATGGTTAATCCGTATTTTGTTGCTCAGTGATGGTAAATGCTGGCCCAGTGACCAATGCAATTTTAGTTGAACAGAGTGCTGCAATTCTAATAAAAAATGGGGAGCATTGTACTCGAAATTCCACAGGCCACACATTTAGTGGTTTTGCCTTTCTTGAGCCACATAACATGAAATAAAATGTACTCGCTCTAATAGTAAATGGCAACTTCACATTTAATTGGGCGTGCCTTGACCAATGGTTATTACACAATTACACAATTTGTTCTACACCACTTCCTCCCTTTCCCAATATAAATACCCATTGAAGGGGTCAGAAACCACACCACAACCAAGCTAATCTCTTTTACATTCTCTGTATTTTCAAGTTTCCTAAGTAATTTGTGAGCTATGACAGGTTCCTCAACACAAAGAGGCATGTGGTCCCTGATCAAGGATGTTGATCATACCAAGACCACTTGGGCCTTAAGGGTGCGGGTGGTCAGAGCATACGAAGTCCCACCTCACTCAAAAGGGGGGCAACACTCGAGATGGTGTTGCATGATGAGCTGGTAGAAAAACATATTCACAGATTTTCATTTTGATATCAAAAACATATAATATCATATTATCATAATAATATTATTACTATTATTATTATTATATTATTATTATTATATTCACACTGCCCACATTTTGATATTTAGGGAGACCGCATTCACGCTATAATAAAGAGGCCACAGGTGGAGGTTTACAAGACCATGATCAAGGAAAACAAAATTTACGCTCTAAGGACGTTTTTGGTCATGGACAACTACCAAACTGTCAAAACGAGTGATCATCCTTATCTGATTCAATTCATCAGCAAAACTCAGTTCACCGAAGACACTAGGACAGAGTTGCCAATGATGGTGTACGACTTTCAGCCATTTGACATGCTGCAGGCTCAACGCGTCGTCAACGACAAAAAATTGATTGGTGAGGACAACCGAAAACTTGTACGTTTTAATTTACTGAAATAAATATCTTATGCTGGAATTTGGTTATAGATGTCATAGGCAAAGTCATATGTAAGAGCGGCGTTCAAAACCATATCATAAGTGGAAGAGCTGAAAGGATGATGGAGTTGACATTAGGAGACCCTGAGTGAGTTTTGTTTAAACATTTTTATGCAATTTAAACTTAAGAGAGAAATGGTTATGGAGCATGAATAATATTTATTATTAAATAACTTTTATAAATTGCAGAGGGAACAGACTCGGATGTGTATTGTGGAACAAGTACATAGACCAGTATATGGAGTATGTGACCGAGAATGTTGGTGTGCCTGTGTATGTAATTTTTCAGCTATGCAGGCCAAAGAGATACCAAGGTAATCTCTTTTGTAGGGATGTTTATGACTCCTGCCATCAGGGCAAAACAGTATGATTCTAAAAAAGTAATTACTCATGACAGGCACCTTATCTGTATCATCTTCATTTGATGTGTCGAAACTGATAATCAATGGGAACTCAAGCGAGTTTATTGAATTTCAAAGCGAGTAAGAATTTTTTTAAAAGTAGGCATTGTAATGAAGGCTTATAAAAACTATACTCATAATGAACTCTGCACTATGATACAGATTTCCTGTAGATGGTGATGACAGCGTCACAGCCACAGCCGTCTCACAATCTTCCCATGGTGATGGGAGCCGCGAAGATGTCCTTGCGGGCCAAGCTGTCATAACGACTATTCAGGAATTGGTTAAGGCTACAGAGGTGTGTACAAGATGACCTATTCTTTTAGGTGACGACATTTTCAACGATTATGTCAAATATTGTGTTTACAAACAGGATGGGGTTTACTGGATCATCGGAGACATTGTGTCTCTTGAAAACTATAGAGAATGGTGTTACCTAGGCTGTCCCACATGCCACAAAAAACTAAAACCAGATGATGATAGGTTCATGTGTACCAATTGCCATGTCACAATGGCAGATGGGGTGTATCGGTAAGAGATCGAATTGCTATTGTATGTAGCTATGATTTGTATGAATCGAATCCATTGAAAAATATTTGGCATTCATTTTAGGTACAAAGTCAGCATTTGCATCATGGACCAGACTGGTCATTCAACCTTCATTCTGTGGGACAGGGAATGTATTGAAGTTTTTGGAAAAACATCTGCTTTTCTAATGGCTGAGATGGAGAAGGCAAAAACTTGATTTCAATTTATATGTTAAATTATCAAAATTAAAAAACTTTATGACTAATGCAAATGGTTTGAATAAAACAGAAGACTGAAGACCAAACTCGATTTCCAGAAGACATAGAAAGCTTGGTTGACCAAAAGGGCCTGTTTAAAATACAACTGAAGACAAAAAGTGAGGAGAATACTTATAAGAAAACAAAGTCATTTACTGTGGTGACCATGATAAGAGACTCTAAGGTTCTGGCATTGTATGAAGCGGATAAGGAACAACAATCAGTTCATGACACTCCAACTGAGAAGGTATTTTCAATGGTTTTGGAGTTTATAGAAATTTACTTTTGGGTGCTTCATAGTGAAAGTATATGTTTCGTATAATAGAAAATAATGATCAATACCTTAAATTTAGATTGGGTCAAGTCTCCACAATGGTGAAAGTTCTACAGCGAGGAAAAAAGGGAAAGATGTCCAAAAATAAGAGGTATACCGACTGTAGTACTCTTATATATTTGTATAAGTAGGGTTATATATTAAAGAGATATGCTTACATTTTTTCTTAAAAAGGTTGTCGAGGCAATTGACCTCCCAGACTCACCCCCACTGGGTACGCAGAAGGTGGTGGAGGTGGAAATGGATGGACAACTCAAAAGGAATCTGATAGATGAATTCTCTACAAGTGGTGCTGTGAAGAAGCTGAAGATAAAAATTAATGAAGAACCACTCTGAAGAACAAGGGCCAGTCTGTTGGTCGGGACTTATATTTTGTACTGAGGCATCCTTGGACTTATATTTTGTTTTGTGGTGTTGGGTTGTAGCCTAAAACACTATCTTGGGCATGAATGTGTCTTA